TTATGAATTTATCCTAAAAAACTAAATATATAATCTGTAATATGTAACCATTAGAATGATTGTCAGTTACTGTGCTCCAGTTGTTTCTAATCTTGTTTGTCATTGTTTATATTGTAGCTATAGAATTTTCCTTGTTAATCTTATACCCTGAAGGGTATAAGATTAACAAGGGGTTGTAAAAATGCTACCAATTATACACATGAAGTGAATATATTAAACTTAAATATAATGATAATGAAAAAAATGAAATAAAAGTTAAGTTCTTACTTTATTAGATTAGTAATTTTTTTAAGCAATTTATATTTGTTAATTTTTGTTTCATAATTTTTTAACTTTCTTTGTGTAAATACATTAATAGGAGAAAGTGAAAATGCAGTGATAGTAAAATTAATGGTGAAAGCAATGAGTTTGAAAATGCTTATCTAAAAAAGCAACAAAGAGAACCTACAAAATATTTTAACAGTGAGGTTTGTGAATGTAAAAGCATCAACATTTTGGCTTCATTTAAAAAAGCAAATCCTGTGAGTAAAATTATTCCAAAACCAAAGAATCTAAAATCAGGCAGAAAAAATAAGACAAGCTAGAAAAAATGCAGCATTTCTTCTATTGCTGCAAGTAGAAGCTATTAAGCAACGTTTATTGCAAGCAGCTCTACTAGCACATGTACTAAGAAGTCAGATTTAATAATTCAAAGTACAACTCCTGATTCAAACAGTTTAAAAGACTCTGAAAGTGACGAAGAGTTCATCCCTCTACCACTCCCAATAAATACAAAGATGACCTTTTGTAAGCTTGCTTTTAGTCATAACTCATGTAAATTAATTTCATTTATTTTGCAAAACATTAAAAAAGAAATTAAGAATTTAAATTATCAAAAAGTAGAATTGCAGCTACAAAAATATGTTCATAATATCAGATTTACATTTACAGCCTTTTAAAAAAATCTACGCTTGATTTCAAGCATGCAATAAGAAATCGAGCAGTTTTTCTTGAAATTGAACTCTGCAGAGTGGGAAATTATAACTATTGTATTATCATCTGGAAGCACTACCAGATCATCAGCTTGTCAAACAATAACTATGTCATTTATAAAAAAAGAAATTCCTATTGAAACAAATAGCATTTTGCTGGCTATAAAGCATTTGTTTTCTGACAAGGACAAAATTAACTCTCTTGTAAGTTATTCTCATGTATTTACATGTAGTATACAATAACCTGAGCATAGTTGTGTAATGATACAATTTGTATTTGTTTTGAGGTGGACTAAATGGATTGTAAAATATAATCTTCCAATTAGAGAGCATAGAAAAGTTTTTAAAAACTTAGTAATAAATTTTATAAAACAATTAAAATAATATTTATTCTGTATTTGATTCTCAGATTGGTATTTGTTGGTGGAGAAGATAATATAAAGATGACTTTGAATGTGATGGCTTCTTTATTATCAAAAGAGGCCAAACTGCGATTCTCGATCCATAGTTGAAAGAACAAAAAGTCTTTTACAAGCTTAATGCTTTTTAAGTGTGTGATAAAAAAGGAAAATTATTCTTTTAATTAAAATAAATATCTTATCATTTTTAAGATAAATAAATTTAAAAAGTTATAGTTGCATTTCAAGTTAATTTATTTAATATTTATTCTATATTTTATATTATTTAGGGCAGTTTTTAAATTTTTATAAAACTTTTGATTTTTGAGATTAACTACTAAGGTATGATATTTTTGACAATATATCTTTACTCATCCAAAACTATTTTGTAGGAATATTAATAAGAAAAAACTACCTTTAAACCACTTGTTATTTCCGCGTATCAGCTTTGTTCGTCAAGGTTCGTGTTGCGGATTTAAAAAGAAAAAAAAAGAATAACTTTTTTACTGAGGTTGTCTCCTTGTGGCGGGGCATAATAGAAAAAAAAACTATTTAGCTAAAATCTAAATTATGAAAGAGTTGTGTCAAAAAAATATTAGTTTGATATAATTTATAATTTATTGTACTGTAAATTTGGTATTGATTTTTGAATAACTTATTAAATAGATTATAGATATAGTCTTTAATTACATTTTAGTAAATTGAAATACTGAAAAGCTAAATAAAATGTCTATATATAGTATGCTAAATAATATCCAATAAAAATTTTTTGCATTAGAGCTGCTTTAAGGATCTCTGATTTCTTTATCTTTACATATATTAAACCTCTGGTTTAATAAATGTAAAGATAAAGAAATTAGAGATCGGATGAGCTTTTTTTATGCTCAAGCTGCAGACAAGAATGGTAGTCATAAAAATCTCAAAGGTGCCAAAAATTGATACAGATAGACAATGTATTGACAATGAACATATATTATACATTATTTTAATACTTGATTAATTATGCTTGAATTTTTATTTTGTCTAATAATTTATACATATTTAAAGCTTGTTTTTCTTGCTTGACAGTAAATAGAAAAACATTGTTAAATAAAAATAATTCAAAACTATGATAACGTTATAATGCACCAGTTGATGCAATATTGATCACGAATATTTTTGCCAATGTTTCTACTACTAACGGCAACATATGTTGCCGTTACTAGTAAAGTATAAGACTAATATTAGTCTCATAAATTTAGAAAAAATACTATTCCTATATTGGCGCATAAATATTTGTCTCATAATTATGGAAATAATACTAGACCAATATTGGCCCATGTTTAAGAAGTTCTCGATTAAAACAATAATAAATTGAACCTTTTAGGCAATATTGTACCGATATTTAGCCAATATTGCTACAAGTTTAAAAATCTATATTGGCGCAAGATCGCATAATGTATTTTTCAATATGGTGCCAATATTGTTTTCGATAATGCGACAAAAATGTAGCCGATGTTGGGCCAATATAATGCCAACATTGCTTATTAATTTGGTACCATATTTATTGTATAGTTTATTAAAAAATGTTAAATTTGTTTTATATATTATTACTATTGTTGTTCTTATTTCAATAAAATTTTTGTTTAAAATTGCTAAATTTAATAAAACCACTTTAATATGTAACTTTAACGTTTAGTGGCACAGCTATTTGAAGGTTTTAATGTAAAACTTATCTTAAATTATAAATTAAAATAAATAAAGAAATAAAACTTAAATAATATATTTTTACACATGTATTAAAATGGGAACATTTTTTTCTAAAGAAATAGCATTAAGCCAGTAAGAAATTCTTTATTCTATGTTAAAAATTGCTACGTTCCAGGCCACTTGTATATTCGCGATACCAAAGAAATAATTATTGAGTTAGAAGATAAATATGTGTTTTGTATATTGTATATATGTCAGCGGATTGTTATAGAGTAAACGCATCAAACATACTTTTAGCATAATTTAACTTGCTTTTGCAACTTCTTATCCAAAATAACATTTTTAAAAACAGAGAATCTAAAGCAAATCAAAGTTTTTTGTAATGGCTTTGAAAAAAAATACATTTTTACTTTCAGTTTTAAATAAATTGAAAAAAAATTATTAAAATGCTTTTCTTAAATATAAAGGGTGAGAAACATAATTGAAACGCTGTTAATGATTCATTTTAGTTTCTCTTTACTATTTATTTTTATTTATTTTGTTTTATTATATGTTCTTGTAATTTACATTGAAAATTCTCAGTAATTTAAAACAAGTTGATACTTACGACATGTTTTCTTTTGTAAGAAAACTAGCAGAAATGCAATATACGCCTAAAAGAGAATACTTTATTTTTATAATTTTATTAATATAAAGTATTACTATAAAAAGTATAAAAGTAATATAATAAGTATAAAAATATTAAAATAAAACTTAAGCGCTTAATTCGTATTTTCTCATTTAAAAAAAAAAAAAAAACTTGTTCATCAATTTTAAATATGTATTTAACTTACACAAGAGTTGACCTTATATTTAAAGAACATTGAATTTAATTTTTTTTTTTCAGTTTTTCTTTATGCGTTTTTAATTTTTTTTTGCATTTGTTTATGCTGCACAAGGGTAAAAACATGTGACAAACAGTGCCTAGTGACAAAAGGGTAAAAACATGTGACAAACAGCTGCCTAGTTGCCTAACGATGGCCTGGAAGAAGTGAAGACAATAAGTTGCAGATGATATCATAGAGTAAGCTTTTTCGAGGGCAAAGATAATTTTTTAGAAAGATTTAAATTTTAATGTCAAAGGGGAGAGAGAAACCATACCTCAAGCTCAAGTAATCATTAGAAACTGATTTGATAATAGCACGTCAAAATAAACATGGAAAAACACATAAGAACAATTGAAAATAAAACTTCGAAAAGTATTGGCATACTATACAAAGCTAAGCAAATCTTAAACCAAAACTGCTTAAATATCTTAAATTTCTCCCTCATACATTGTTATATAAACTATGCAAGTAATGCATAGTGCAGCTCTAATGTAAGTAAAGTTAAAAATTTGCTTAGTAGACAAAAACACGCTATCAGTATTATTTCAAATACAGGTCGATTCGCACATTCTAAAGAACTATTCAAAAATCATCACATACTCAATGTTCTTCTGTTAAACCTTTATCAAATTCTTATAATTATGTACAAACTACATAATAAAATAACTCCTATAATTTTTGTACATTTTTCAATAAAATTAATCACGTGTACCCTACAAGATATTCAAATTACAATTACGAGCAACCTAAAATACACTATTTGGCTAATAAATTTTCTATTGCCATCACAGGTCCTAAATTATGGAACACTTTATTAAATAACCAGCTGAAAAATTTTTCTTTATTTTCTCTATTTAAACAAAAACTCAAACAAAAACTTCTTTACGATGTTAATGAATTAAGTTCTTTTTAAGATTTTTTTATCTTCTTTTTTAACAACTATCTTATTAACTAGTCTAACCAATTTAATTATCCTCATAGCTTATCATCAGTTTTTAAGTGTGATTGCTTTTTTTTTGTTTGTTTTTACGATTTTCTTTTGATTATAGATTAGTAACTGATCTTAACATATTTGTATATATTTGTATATAATTTTTAAACGGTACAAAGTAATTTTATGTTTTATGTTTACATTTTAATGGTTATACACGCTTGCTGATGAAAGCACGTCGGGGTGTAGTGATAAGGCAAATATTGTCTTCTTTTAGCCCCGGTCATGTAAAATTTATTTATATAACACGTCATTGTATACTTTTTTTTTTAATGACAAACAAAAATAAAGTGCTTGCGTGACTAATAGTTTCGACAATTTAAAAAACAAAAAAACTATATTTAATTTTTGATTAACTCCAATATTCTTAAAAATCTCAAAATGATGGTAACGATAAGCGTAATTGAGTAATTATACATATATCAATAGTTTACATATATCAATAGTAATACAATATATCAACAATAGTAATACATATATCAATAGTAACACATTATATTATATTTATAAACAAACTTATATACTTATATTTGTGAACAAATTTATATAATTGTATTTATGTGCTTAATAAAAAATTAATACTTTTAATATGTCTAATAATAAAATGAAGCATATAGAAAATTAAAATGATTGTTCAAAAAAAAAAATGTTTATTCCAACAAAATTTATAATATAAGAGTAAAACAAAAAATTTCAGCTAGAATTACAAAGTAATCAAAAATAATTGTTCATAATTATACATTTACTTAGTGTTAGAAAACAGTTCGAAAATAAATAAAGACGGCAATTAATGAAATTTTTGCTAGTAGCTTGTAGTTACTAATAAATGTTAAAAAATTTATTGTTTGCTATACAACCAAAAAAACTTTAGAGCAAAATGTATTGTACAAATTGCAACAAACTAGCTAAGCGATTTCAGATAGTGAAAACTAAATAGTCTTTCAGATCAGATAGTGAAAAATAAATAATCTTTAAAAACTGCCGTCAAATCAAGAAAATGCAGTTAAATGCAGTATAATTATTGCGTTTATTTTATGCAGCCTTTTGGATAATCTAGATGCGTTTTAGTTATAAACCAATACAAATATTTTAATATCATGTTTCATATTCAGTATTTATAATAATTGTTTTTGACAAACAAGTTTCTAATATTTATATCAAATGAATGAGATTTAGTTGGCACACGGCAATATTTTTATTTTAAAAGTTATGGACGCTTTTTTTTTCGCATATTTTTATATGTTTGTTATTTCAGACGTGCAAGCAGTACACAAGATCTCATGATTAAAAAAAAAAAATTCTTAAAAACTATTTTACAAAAAGTTTAAAATTCACTAACATTGGTTCTCTGTGACAAGAACTGATTTTGTCATATTAAAGTATCCGTGTTCTTTAAACCTAATTTTACAAATTTTATTTTACCAATTTATTTTAATTTACCAATTTCTTTTATTGAAATTATTTTCTTTCGTTTATTTTAACTTTATCTTACATAATGTAATAAACAACAACCAAACTAAAAAATTATTAAAAAAAACGTAACACGCTCCATGCCGTCAGTTCGTTGGCCCGGAAAACATATGGGTATTGCAACAAATGTAGCAGTATCAACATGACAATAAATTGTTAATTTCATTAGTTTAATATTTAAAAACATAAAATAATTTGAAAAAAGGTTAGCAAATTGATGTTGGAATCTGTATTAGCCATTATTTGGACCCATGAGAACTAATTTTAAATATTTCTCAGGTGGAAACAACTTTAACTGTCGACTTTAAAATTTTAATTGTTAGCTAAAATGTAAATACCGCTATCTATATCTTCATGGTTTGGTAGTAATTTGTAACTCAAAACCTAACTATACGTTTGCAAACTAAACACGTTTATTAAACAGTTACTATTTGAGCCAAAGATCAAAACTTTGAGATCTAAAGTTGCAAGAAGAAAAAACCTACATATAAGTTAATTAAAGTTCAAGTATATAAAAGAGAAACAACTTTAGCATATCAGAAACCTTTACTCAAAAATTTTGTATGTTAGTTTTTAAAACACAAAAAAATTATAATAATATGATAAAAAGTAATTTTTTTAACTGCATATAGCCTAAGAATTTGTGATAAGTTTGACAAAAAATATCTATTAACTCATAAGTTAATATAAATTTTAGTAAACAAAGAATTTTTGACTATTGAATTATTAACAGGTGTAACTTAAAACTAATTTTTTATCTTACTTTTAGCATGTTAAATTTAACTTTGGTTTTTATTAAAATTCCAAGTTTAAACTTTCTGATCTTCAAAATCAATATAGGGTAAGCGGAGGCATAACCGCCCCCGTAAAGCTTAGAGTAATGTTATATGAAGATAAAAACGAAATATGTTTTTTTACTAGTTTATTTCTATAACCACATCATTAAGCTTTAAATTTATGCAATTAAGAAAAAAATTAATCGGTTCTTGAAAATGTTATTTCACAAAAAGTACAATTAGTGAAAAAAACGGTTTTGCCCCCATTGTGAGGCACAACGGCACCCTCACAAAAATCGTTGGGGGTACACCTTTCATGGAACATTTTTTTTACAATTTCCACAGCTCAGATTATTTGATGATATTATTGCATGTTTGCATAATTTGCAAGCATTCTTGTTATTTACATTTTGATTTCTGCTCCAGAAGAGAGTTCTGCTTCAGAAGAGAGTTTTTAGAAAGAATTCAGTTTAATAGCTTGCTTATTAGTTTATGCTAATATCAAAAATGGTTTTCACTTGATGAAATAATGCTGATAACACATGTTTTAAACACTAAAATCAAATATTGCTTAATTCTCAAAAAAAATGTCTGGAAAAATATGATGTATATATAAAATTTTTATCAAAATAATCATTATCATGCACAAATTCTGAGAAACGTAACAAGCACACTTTTTGAGATATACAAAATGAAGGAAGCTGTTTTACTAACGCGTGGTATGTTTTTTGCCATATTAGATAATATTTTTCTAAGGGAAATGTTAAAAAACGGTTGTGCCTTCTTATGCGGTTATGCCCCTACTTCCCCTACTAACAGTTTTGCATAAAGCTTTTATTTGTTATATTTTATATACCCTAGAGTTATAATAGGTATTTAGACTTTTAATGGATAAAAAAATAAGATTTTTGAAAAATTAAAATCGGCAGCAAAAAGTCTCTAAATCAAAAGCATACAGGATATGGGCTGTATTGTGTGTTGCATATACGTAAAATCTAAAAAAAATACTGAACATTTTTTAATTAAAAATTCAATATAAAATAAATTATAATAGCAAAGCAAAAAATTAAGCTTTATATGACTGACCATAAAGTTTGACCATAACATCTGAAACCAAAATATTATATTAGAATATCATCTGGTTGTACCATCAATGCCATTAAATATAGTCTTTTTATTTCAGCTGAAACAATTTTCAAAGTTTTAACAATGATGTTGAAAGTTTTAAATACTCCTTTAAGTTTAAAGAAAAAATTATAAGATTTTTTTAAATATCAAAAAAAAACTATTTTTTAGAAAAAATGATATTACATTAAAACATTTGTTTTTCTTACAAAATAAAAATATTTAAAAACGCATTTTTTATTTATTATTAATTGACGATAACAAACTTAAAGCTAAAACTTAAAGACAAAATTTTATTCTACACAATTTTATTAGTTATCACTGTCAATATCTTCTTTAACATGAATAAATACAATTTGCAAAAAAACCGTACACAAATATATATTCATTTTTAGCTTAATTTACTGATTATTAGAGTTATTTTACCAGGTTATATTTATTAAGTCGCTAAAGATATAAAAAAGAGATTACTTTTAAGAGAAAATATATTAACTCCACACTCATCTGGCTAACTCATACATGCAAATATAGTTGTAAAAAATGTTATATTAAAGCACACAAGTACAATATATTTTGCTTTGCAAACATTTTAAAAAAATTTCGTACTGTATTATATTTTTGGGGTGGTCAACTGCTATATTATTGCGTTATTATATAAAGTTATAATAGGCCGGCAGGCTAGCATCAAATTGTTTTCATCAATATTTTGCATCAAAATATTGAGCGGATTTACAGTGTTACAGTGGTAATTAAATTGTTCTAACGGTACTTTTAAATAAGTATATGTAAGAAAACGATGATCCATTATGCATCTAATTATTAATTGTCTTGATTGTAATTAAATTTTTAATATTCACGTGGCAATTTTCTTTAGACGCACTAAAATTTTTACAAGTTTTTTCGCAAATTTCTTATATTCTGTGGTATTTTTTATTTTGTGAGTTGAAATTAAGTTGAACTAAACCAAATGCCAAAAGGAAAAGTCCTTACCAATATTGAAAAAGGTCAAATATTGGCTTTTCATCGAGAAAAAATTCTAAATCGAGAAATCGCTATAAGATTGAAGAGATCAGATCACGTTATCCGTAATTTCTTGAAAAATCCAGCAGATTATGCAACACTCAAGAGGAAACCAAAGAAATCTAAGGTTTCAAGTTGTAAAAAACGCAGAATTGTTCAACTCCCATCAAATTCATCAAAAAGTTTGAAAACAATTAAGTCAGATTTGGGTTTAAATGTTTGCAAGGAGACAATTAAAAAAGTTCTTGAAGACAGCCCACACATTTTACGATCAAAAATGAATAAAGCACCAATTTTGAAGCCCGTTCACAAACAGAAACTGATAGAACTTGCCCACGAAAACATGGCACGCGATTGGAAACAAGTAAGAAATTTTAGATTAAATTCTCATGAATACGTAAGATGTCTAAATAGCTGAATATTTTTGTTTTCAATACCAGGTGATTTTTTCGGGCGAGAAAAAGTTTAATCTTGATGGGCCTGATGTTTTTAGTGGCTACTGGCGTGATTTGAGGAGAAAACCCAAATATTTTTCATTGTTTTGCTCAATATTTTTGTAAATCCAACTCAATATTTTGCAACTTCTGTTGTAAGAAAAGTGCAACAAGTGGAAATATTATATTCAACAAGTGGAAATATCATATTCAACTAGTGGAAATATTATATAAGAAAACATACATAAAAACACGATGAAAAATTAAAATGTGAATTTAAATACCTGAAAAAATTGAATTTAAAGCAAAAGCAGAAGCGAAAAAGTAAATTTAAATACCTGACATTTTGTTTGTTTTAAATGCGTAAGAAAACTAAAGAATAATGCATATTAGTGATATGGTTGAACACCAAATATTTTTGCATTTTTGTGCGTTTTAAACTGATTTTGTGCATCTACCTTAAAAGATTTTATATAAATTGAATAAATTTAAAGAACAGATTTGTATAACCCAAAATTGCTGCAATTTTAGTTTTTATCATAATTTAACAACAACCAATAACCAAATAACATCTTTGGTCAAATATTGTATTTTATGTCGGCATTGTCCAATAATTTACTTTAATTCAACGATGTGTTTTAAGTAGGTAAAATGTTGAAATTTACCATGGCAAAACGTTGTATTTTAATTTGATTGAACGTAATTTTACGTTTGCATTGAGAAAGCAGACAGGTTTTTCACTGGATGTTAGATTGCGTAATTTATACTATTAATTACGTTACCTACAAAAACAAAATCAACATTGCTAATGACGTTTGAATATACTTATTATAAAAGTTTGTCGTTATTAATGTATAATCAACATACCTGATTATGTTTGGTTATATTTATCAAAACTAATGTAAACGAATATGATTAATGAAGAATTATTCATGTCTGTTTTGCTTGTAGCTTGATTTTTCATTAAATAAGAAAGCAAAATATGATTTTACATAAGATTATATTAACAAAATAAAAAAATGAAATCATTTGGATGGTAAACATCTCTTATAAATTATAAAAAATATATCTGATGCAAATACAACGTTGATCCAAAAGCATTGGATCAAAGTTAATAAATATATACAAACTCGATGTGGAATTATACACATTTGGTGAACATTGACCCATATACATTTCATCAATGATTTAAGATTGGAAAAAAACACATCTTTTGTGATGTTTTTACATACGTTCGATCAATTATATAGTCCTGAATATTTTTAATCACGCCGTTATTAAGATTTTCATTAATATAAATATAATAAAACCCAATATTGGATTACGTTGTGTTTGCATCGGAGAAAACTGCCGACGTTTGTATTGTATTTATGCGTTGGCCCAACGTAAGTTCGCTTGTTGAGAGAAATGTTTTCAAAAAGTTTTTGGGAAGGCAAGCATTTTTTTAATATTTTACATTTTTTATATGTTTTTGTTGTTTAATAATAATTACGCAATTTAGTGAAATAAACCAGTTATTACTAATAATTACGCAATTTAGTGAAATAAACTGTTATTTCGCCAACAGCATCAAACTGTAATGTTTTTAACCTCTCTAATTTATTTACATCACTGGTTTAAACAAAAGTAAAATTTATTTAAGAGATGATTTTTTGAACTAATCTTTAAATATATCTAATTCGAAAATATTTTGAAGAGGAAATTATTTATTTTTAATAAAATACGTAAATACGTATATGCCACTTTCACTTTTCCTCTCAAAAAAAGGTTAGTTTTGCCGAGCTCTTCCTATAGGCACCCCAAATTGTTTTTTACAAAAATTGTCAACTTACCTGCACTCTTTTTTCTAATGCAAAACTTACAGTTAAAACAGTGCCAAAGTTACAATTGAAAACGTAATTTTTTATGTGAAAAAAACAGTGTTTAAAAAAATAGTTTTTAAAAACTGTTAACTACAAATCTAACAAATCTACAATACTAACCCTAACCTTAACCCTGACCCTGGCTTTAGTCTTTCTATTGACTGTCGCAACCAGTTTATTTTTTGTTCTAAGCAAATTGTTTTTATAATGACGCATAAAAATTTACAAAATTAATCTAGGCTACATCAAAAGAAATCTAGACTACACAAATCTAAATCTACATTAAAACCGTGACGCTAAAATAAAGAATTGAAGATGTAAAATTAATTAAGAAACAATTAAATACTATATACTACATTATGGTTTTTCATTCAAAATATTTTTCAGGTCCATGATAATTTTTTCAGCGTAGGACTTCCAAAAATGTTAACCTGAGGGCCATCGAAGGTGCAAAAAAATAAATATGTATATATACATATATGTATATATACATATATGTATATATATATATATATATATATATATATATATATATATATATATATATATATATATATATATATATATATATATATATATATATATATATATATATATATATATATATATATATGTATATGTATATATATATATATATATATATATATATATATATATATATATATATATATATATATATATATATATATATATATATATATATATATATATATGCATATATAAGTGTCAGTAGAAATTGGACAAATTAATTTAAAACAACATTTTGAAAAAATTATTGATAAAATCATACAATCAAATTAATGAAATGGCGACAGGAAGAAACGGGCATAAATAGCGCACGCAGGGAGTCAAAGCATAATCTGCTAAATAGAGGTGACGAAATTTAATTGTGCACAGTAGATAAAAGTATTCAGGCACTATTCATAATCAGATATATCAGGCTGTTCTGCTTTTACCGCGTCCCACTTCTTCCCATTTTTCTCTACTAATTTATAAATGATTTAAAGACCTTAAACAACTATTAAAATATTTTTTTGGTAGACACAAAACCTAAAAGACTCCTTAATTTCTATCATAAGGTCCTGAGTTCCAAAGAAGATTTTTGGAACATACTCTACTGGTATTTATTTTAATGATATGAGTAAAGATATTTTGAGTGTTTTAAACATCAACTATAGTTCATAACACTTATTCAGTTTGACAAATCTTGTGTAAAGCAAATGAAACGAAAGATAATATAAAAATGTATAAAGTAAAAAAAAAGGTAAGATCAATAGCCGAAAGATTTAGTTTTAAATGAAAATCATATAAATCTTATATTTCATTCGTTTCTGGTGGTTGATAAACATTTTTACTTATAAAAGATTTTAAATATGTTTGTTATAACTTATTATTTTTGTAATACTAGGGTAACTTTGAAGAGGAATGCCGTTACATTGGCTAATGAATTTTGACTGAAATATTTAGGGTGTATTCAAAATACTATAAAAATTTGATTAACAGATAAGATTTTAAAAAATCGTGCACACTTTTTTCATGTGAAGAAAACAGTTCATATCTTTGGTCGTTTAGTGTCATTAATCATAATTTCAATTGTTCTTGATTAAACTTAATATAAGTCTATAATCTAAAAACCCATCTGTCAACCGTAGTAAAACATTATAAGGTAACAATCTACAAAGTTTAAAGAAGAGAAAATTTATATAAGAGAAGATTTTTTGTCACAAATTTATTCAATGTTACGCATTTTTTATTCAGTTACGCCATAA